TGTAATACTTATATATACCAAGAGAATGTAAGATTTATTATTCTAGTAGGTAGTAATAATATGAATGAATAATAAAATGAAATAATAATAATATTATAATGATTAGGGATGTGGAACATCTCACAAGGAAAGCCTATGAGAACGAGGTCTGTCTCAGTCTGGAGCAGACTGAGAGGGGATTTTATCCATATATATAAATATCTCAAAAGCAGATGCCAAGAGAATGGTGCCAGAATCTTTTCAGTGGTACCCAGTGATATGATGAGGTGCAATGGCCATAAATTAAAACAGAAGTTCCAGGTCAACATGAGGATGAACTTCTTTGCATTGAGGGTGGCAGAGCATGGAAATAGAATGCCAGGGAGGTTGTGGAGTCTCCCTCTCCGAAGACATTCAAACCCTATCTGAATATGTTCCTATGTAACCTGCTTAAGGTGACCCTGCCTTGGCAAGGGGCTTGCACTAGATGACCTCAAGAGGTCCCTCCCAGCCCTAACAATCCTATGATTCTGTGATTTTGTGTGCATTGATACAAGCCAAAATCAAGCTTATATCAGGCTCCTCCAGACTGAAGCCCCTCAAGATCTGAATACAGGTTTGAGTCAAACTTTGAAATTTTTTTGTTGTTGTTGTTCATCTGTAACTGGCTGGACAGTAATGATTGTGCAGTTGCATTGTGAACATTGTACACTTGGCTAATCTTTTGTTTTGAGGAAAAGAGAAGACAATCCCAAGGTGAATGGGCTGGCTGAACAGCCAGAACCAGAACTGAAGTCAGCAGGATTGAGCAGTAACTGGGGAGGAAAGGTAATTCCAGGAGTGAGTGATCATGTCCCATTAGCCACCTACTCAAAAGAGATGCCAAACTCAACTAGAAGAACAGCACCTGCACTAATAACCACGAGAAAGGAGGATATACAGCCAGCAAATAATGGTTTGAGTAGTAGTACATAAAATTATGTAATTTGTAACTGATCAATGTTGATACCTTTGTTTGTTAAAATGTATAAATAGTGTAAAGCTCTGATTATCAGGAAGCCAGCCTTTTGTGAGTTAACATCCACCTCCCTACTCTGCACAAGCAAGAATAAAGAAACAGAAATACACGAATAGAAATGCCTCACTTCATGTGCAAATTGCATACTGGGTAACAAGCCCACGTTCAGGACAACATGGGGAATCTCAAGGCATGCACAGTGCCTGTTCAGAGCAGAGGTGTAAAAACAAGAGTAAATAGCTTTGCATGGCACTGGCCTCGTGGCTGCTGTTTTTCCAGAATCTGGGGTGACACATCAGTGTGACTATATCAGGTTTTTAACTTAACAAGGCTGAGTTTTTGTTAAGTGATGTGTCTGCTCTGAACAGCATAGGCATTCCCAAAATGTCACAGGAAATTTTCGGACTGGGAGTAAATTTGGTTCCAGAGGGGTTTGGTTTCTAAGTGATGTTTGCTGCCTAGACTGCACTGACTCTGCTCCTCAACTGGTCCAGCATCCATTCTGAAAAGCTTCATTTATGGCAGAGGCACATGGCAGAAGAAAGGAAATCCACCTCAACCTCTGCTTTCCAAATTAAGATTATAAAGTTAAACCACAAACCCTGCAGGGTTTACATCACTGTTGAGGTTTAACCCCAGCCAGCAACCAAGCCCCAAGCAGCTGCTCATTCACTACCCCATTCCCAAGATCAGGGAGAAAATTGGAAGGGTAAAAGCTGGAAAACTCGTGGGTAAAGAGAGTATAATAGAGAAAGCAAAAGCCACACACAAAAGAAAGCAAAACAAGGAATTAAGTCACCACTTCCCCTGGGCAGAGAGGTGTTTGGTGATCTCCAGCAGAGCAGGATCCCATCATGCATAGTGGTTATTTGGGAAGACAAACACCATCACTCCAAATGTTCCCCCCTTCTTCTTCTTCCCCTCAATTTATACACTGAGCATGATGTCACATGGTCTGGAATATCTCTTTGGCCAGTTTGAGTCACCTGTCCTGGCTGTGTCTCTTCCCAACCTCCTATGCACCCTCCATTTCCCTGCCAGTGTGGCAGTTTGTGAAGCAGAAAAGGCTTTGGCTCTGTACAAGCACCGCCCAGCAACAACAGAAGTATCTCTGTATTTCATCACTGTGTTCAGCACAAATCCAAAACATAGCCTTGCACTACCCTTGTACTACCCACTGTGAAGATTAACTGTACCCCAGCTGAAACCAACATAATAGCAAATTAGGAAATTCTCTATCTTCTCAAGATTAAGAAGCTAGTGCCTCGTCACCAGCAGGGCTCCCCAGGGCTCAAATTTAGGGACAGTGCTCTTTAATGTTCTCATAAATGATCTGTTTGCAGGAATTAAGTCTGATTATACTAAACCAGGAGGAGCTGTTGACTCCCTTGACGGTAGAGGAGCGTAACAGAGATTTGGACAGAGAGCTGATCAATCACCAATCATCTAAAATCTAAAAAGTGCCAGATTCTCCACACAGGACAGGGAAATCAGGGTTGCACAGAGAAATTGGGGGATGAGAGGCTGGATTACAGCTCCATTAAAAGCAATCTTGAGTTTTTGGGTTGATGTCAAGTTGAATAAGAGTCAACAGTGTGCCACAAGTGACAGCCAAAAGAGCCAACTATGTCACAGAGTGCATCAGGCACAGCACTGCTGGCCAGTCCAGGGAGGTGATCATCCCATTCTACACTGTACTGTGGGATTGCACACCACGTATTGAGCCCTATGTGCAGTTTTGGGCACCTCAATTTAAGGACATCACACTGTTAGAGTGTGTGTCAGGAGTATGGGGGCCAAGATGATGAAGAGTATTGAGGCTGAGATTTAGATGCTGAGGTCGCTAGGCTTGTTCAGTTTGGAGAAGGTGCAGGGGGAGCTTCAGGCTGTGGACACTTTCCTCATGGGGAGCAGCGGTTGGGGATGTGCTGACCTCTCCCTGGTGACCAGCGGCAGGACAGGAAGAAATGGAATTGTTAAAAACCGGTTAGAAACTTTTGTAAAATAGTTGATAATTGTTAAGCAATTGTTAGCTTGATTGTTATATCGTAAAAGGGGTTAAAAGGGAGAAATACGGTACTCAACGTACCATATTACACCTAAGTAAAGTGCACCACACCCCCAGCGAAACGAGCCAACCTGGACTGAACTGTAATGGACCAATCAAGCGCCTTAAACCTTCATGCAAATTAAAGGATCCAAACAGAAACCAATCCAGAGGGACAAAAAAAAAACAAAAACCAAACCCACCCCAGGATAAAAAGGGGCATCCGACCCAGGGAAGCTGTGCCGCTCCACCTGGAACATCGGCGACCTCGCTGCTCAAGAAGACCGAGCTCCGGCTCTACAGCATCCTCGACAGGAACGCTTCTGCTCGGCCCGCGAGCCCCCTTGCTACGACCTCGTCCAACCGAAGGACAGGACGGCAGCATGTCCTCCACGGAGGGACCTTGTGTCGGTATCCGGGGAAAAAGGCCTGAGGCACGTGGGAGGCACACCGGAGCCGGTAAGTATCACCCATCCACGGGCAGGGAGAGGGCCCGAGGGGACAGCGGGGCGAGCGTGTGTGGGTGGATGAGCGTGTTTGAGACTGGACCAGCAGCTTAAGCGGCTCAGAGCCCCGAAGTGAAATGAAGACCTGCTACTACCAAGGTTCTGGCTCTCCCCCACGAGACCGTCTGGGAACGGAGGGAAGCGAAAGAGGGAAGACCGAGTGAGGCGCCCGGGCAGGCCCCGTTAAAGCCTGACAAGCCACGGGCGGGTGGGGGCTGTGGAAAAAGGTGTAAGTGACCCACAAACAAGCCATTGTTTCCCTGGCGGGTGGGGAGCCATGGTGAAAGAGAATCACAGGCAAATCAGCATCACCTTCCCGGGCGTGTGGGGAGCTGCGGCGAAGGTTTTGAGTGACACGCAGACAGCCTCACAGGTGACCTGACACCAGAGGAGACCAGACTCAGGGCCCTTCCCCACCAACTCTTCCTCCAAACTATCAAGCCACCACCTCCAATGATCCCCGCCTCTCCTTTATCTCCTCAGGGAATCTCCATGTGATTTTTACCCACTCCCCTGTATAGATCCACCCCCTGATGCTTTTTCCCCACCGCCTCCTATCCCCACTAGCCTGCAGCTTGCTCAGCCTTAAGTCGGAATACAATACCTTTCCCTGAGAAGAAACCTCTGGATATATCCTCCAACTTAACAACTGAAACCTCCCAAAGTGATAACAAAGAATTAGCGAGCCAGTCAAATGACCCTTCAGATGCTGACCCGTACTGTAATACCAGATCAAAAAGTGGTGTAACACCCCCAGCGAAACGAGCTAGCCTGGACAGACCTTAAACTTTCATGCAAATGAAAGGATCCAAACAGAAACCAATCCAGAGGGACAAAAAAAACAAAGCTAAACAAAACAAAAAAACCCCCAAACAAACAACAACAACAACAAAAAAAAAAAAAAAAAAAAAAAAAAAAAAAAAAAAAAAAAAAAACCAAAAAAACCACCCCAGGATAAAAAGGGGCATCCGACCCAGGGAAGCTGTGCCGCTCCACCTGGAACATCGGGGACATCGCTGCGTGAGAAGACCCAGCGCCGGCGCTGCAGCTTCCTCGACGGGAACGCTTCTGCTCGGCCCGCGGGCCGCCTTGCTTTAGGCCTTTTTATTATAATAAATGCTGAATTCACTTTTAGTTCCGGGAGTCCAGTCCCGTTTTTAACAGAATGAAAGGGAAATTCAGAATAACAGAATGCCAAGGGAAATTCAGGTTGGACATCAGGAAAAGGCTCACCCTCTGAGAGGGTGGTCGGTCCCTGGAAGAGGCTTCACAGGGATTTTGTAAGGGCATCAAGCCTGGCGGAGCTCAAGGAGCATCTGCATAACACACGCAGAAACGTGGTTTAGTTTTATGTGGCGCTGCGAGGAGCACGAATTCCTGACGTTGTTGCGTTCATTCACTGGGAAGGAAGCTCGGCTGTCCCCGCCCGGCCGCTTCCTGCCGGCGCCTGTTGTGGATCCGGGGCAGGCGTAGCATGGAGCCGGCGGCCGAGGGCGGTGAGGGACGGGGGCGCCGGGGCTGAGGGCGGCCCAACTCACCCGCAGACCCCGCTCACCCCTGTGGTTTCTTCTCCTCTCTCGTTGCAGATGCAGAGATGCTGGGGACACCCGACCAGGAGCTGGCGTCCACCATGGGCTTCTCCGGCTTCGGTACGTGGCGATGCGGCCGGGGGGGCCGGGGCCTGGCTGGCGGAGCGGGGGCGAAGCCGTGGGGCCTGTCAGCCCCAGGTGGGCTTGTGTTCCAGTCTCCGTTTGCTTCATTTCCAGGGAAGAAGGCTCGAACTTTCGACCTCGAAGCCATGTTTGAGCAAACGAGAAGAACTGCAGTGGAGAGGAGTAGGAAAGTCTTGGGTAAGAAGCTGCTAGCGTAGTTGGCTCTTGCATTTTAAAACATCTTTTGATTTGCTCCTTTAGGGAGGTGTTTGAGGTGTCTCAGACTGGCTGTGTAGAAGAAAAAACAGACACGGAGTTTTGTTCGAGGAAGGCAGCCCTGAACAGCTTGGGCCTCGATGAACAGTAAAGTTACTAATTTGCTGATGTTGTCTCAGAGTGTTAGAGCTGTGTGCATGTGCAAAGCTCCTGTTGTGGGGCACAGCTTTCAGATACAGGAAAAACACACAACCTCTTTTGTTTTTTCTTTTACTTAGCTGTGTATTTATTTTGGAAGAGAAATTGGTATAGACAGCTTTAATCTCGAGACTGCAGAGTAGAGAAGAAGAAATGTGTGTCTTAGAGCAGGTTGTATAGCAGCCCACAAAATGTGTTGCTGTCTTCTGCTGTGCTGGCAGCGGGCACTTTTTGAGGGTGATGTTTCAAGAGTGGGAGGTGGAGCAAATTGTATCATTTGCTGCCTGTAGTCGAGACAACATCACTTCAAACAAGGTCCCTGAGAACAGTCACACATGTTCTATAAATCCCTTTGCCAACCCAGCTATTCATACTTTCTCCTTCCCCTTGGCCAGTTTTTGAAGCATGTATGCCTTTTGTTTTATTGTGATGCCATGTTTTTTATTGCTCTGATTCTGTACAGAACCAGATCAGACCTTTTTGGAGGCTAATTGACTTTTTGGACTTTAAGACACTATGAAATTCAGATATATAAGGGATTCCAAAATACATTACAGACCGGTTTTTTTTTGTCTGTTTTTTTTTTTTTTTTTTTTTTTTTTTTTTTTTTTTTTTTTTTTTTTTTTTTTTTTTTTTTTTTTTTGTTTTGTTTTGTTTTTGTTTTTGTTTTGGTTTTTTTTTTTGTTTTTTGTGTTGGCTGAATCTAAACACAGGAATGTATGTCCATGTTGGAAACCTTTTTAAATTTGTTACTTGTTCAGGTTGAGCTGTCTTTCCTTATGAAGAACTGTTTATTTACATAATATATTTGTTTAATAGGGGAAGTCAGTAAGTGATTGCAAAAATACAATGTTTTTAAGTCAAGATATCTTGACCTGCATCTTGAGTATATCCTCTCCCTCACCCTGCAGCAGACCACATCCTAGCCCATCCCCAGGTTTCTAGGCTTATACCAGTAAAAGAAACACACAGCATTTTCTTGTTTTGCCAAAATTTATAAAGCTTTGTATGTAATTCAGTTGTTTAACTTAGAAACAAGTTTTAGTATTGAGACTATAGCAATTAAGAATGTGTATGTGTTGTGGGGGTGGCTTAATGTGAGCGCTTATTTTCTGATTTTTTGAGAGACACTTCGGCTTTTTAGCTTTTTGTAATGACCATGATAACTTTTGGATATGTCTATCCCACTATCTGATTTGTGGAGCTGAGATCAAAATATGTTTCCTGGTTCTGTACCTTGCAGCTCTTTGGGTTTCTCTTCAGTGGAAAGTGTTTCCTAGCTTTGCTGAAAAAATGTTTTTCTTTTTCATTTATCTAACAGAGGCGAAACACAATGTTTCTTACTTAATATGAGATGGAAGTTTTTGTTTGCTTTGATTTTATTGCAGTGTTTCATAGGGATCCTTTTCAATGAGTGCAGAAAGAATGAACTACTAGTGTGAGCAATACTTTGTGTGCTTAAATTATTTAAAATTCACCTATTTACACATCTGTATACTTTAACTGCACTAATTTAGTTCCCTGTGCTATGAAAACATCAACATTTCTCTAAAGTGATCATTTTGTTTTAGTATAATGTTGGAAATAATTGAAATATTAGTGTCCTTATATGATCAACTTATTTTTGATAACATTTACAAATGAACAACTGGGTGTTTACATTGTCCTTTTGATGTTTTTTTGAGTGATCATTGCAGTAGCAATGGAAATTTAATAGATATGAAAAAGTATCTTAAATCCTTTAATTACTGTTGCATTTTCAAGTATTTCATCTAGGTCTGGGGAAAAACTATGTTACTGTCGTTAGGAAGCCAGTAATTTTAGTATTTTTAAAGGTCTTGATTATTTTTTTTTTTTTTGTCTCCCTATTCAGAAGCCCGTGAAAGAGAGAAAGAAGACCAGACTGAAAAGGAGTTTAGAATTCCATACAGTGCTTCATCAGTTTCAGCATCCAGTGCAACAGGACCTGGGTCCACATTAACTGAAAGGTACTTAGATATGGTGGGAGATTCCATGCAGCAGCTTTTTTATCTGAGGAGAGTGTTGGCTTGTTTTGATGACATGAGTATCATTTAGCTCCTGTGAATATGTCTTATCTTAAGTATTTCAGTGGGAATACTGATTTTAAACTTTTTAAAAAATTTCTTTCTCAAAGATATGTCAATATTTGCAAATATTGACATTATGTATACTTAAGAGGCAATTTTGCTGCTTCCTCCTTGATCGTGTTCCGCATACTTTTTTAAAAATAAGAACAATGATGTTACCATGTATTTTTTGAAAATATTAGGGCAAATACAATGACAACATATGATGACTTTATTAGCAGCTATTGTGCCCACCTTTAGATAGAACATTGATGTTCACCCCTGATGAAAAAGAAGGCAAAGTAGGTGGACAGCCTCTGTGTGCAGACTTTGTGGAGTAATGATGAGGTAGAGAAAGCTTTTTGTTTTACTTCAGCCTGAAGTTTATTCTTAAACTTTAGTCTGTTACTGACAAGCAATATATGCTATGGAATTTGCAATTTAAATTCTGAAATTCTCTGAAATCAGAAGTAGCTGAGGGCAATGGGGACCACATAACTCCATTGTCTGGCAGGGCTGGCAGATATGAATGTGTTGTACATTTTTAGGTTCCTGTATCTATGGAAGTTTTAACAACCCATGCAAGACTCTAGTATATGCATATTATGGGCTGGTGTGTGGTAGGTTATTATATGAGCCTATATGAGGTTATTATAGACAAACTTGTAGAGTTTCAGACTCAACAAATTTTTATTAGAAAATTTTGGTTTTGCCTGTTGGTCTTTGGAAAACCTGGGCACTCCCACAAAAATGCTTGCACAATATACTACTACTTTGTGTATCCTATGTATGCCTTGTGCCCAAGGAAGAATGTTCTGTACTTCCATTTGCTTCTGATGATCTTACATACCCATTTGATGACATAATGAAGGATGACAAGAATTTAAATGTAACATGATTGTGTATTGTAAATGGATGATTCCAACATATATAAGCAATTTAAACAAGTTATAAGGTGGAGAGTAGTCAGGCAATACAGAGGCTTTCCGTAATTATCTCATTCTTCTAATTGACTTGACAAGAGAGACATCCAGGGACTTAATATAAGGAAGATAACAAGTATGTTTCAATATGCTGAGTTATTAGGTAGACTCTGATAACTCATCAGAGTTGTGCTCATAGTAAATTTTGGTTTTGTTTTTCACTAAGCATTAAGAAGGAATGGCTTAACCTGAAAAGCTCTCCTGGAAGTTTTATATTTCCATGTAGAAAAAGGATATATAGCTTAGTTCTTAGAAGTAAAAACACGAAACTAGAAAGACATGCCATTGTGACTCAGTCTTAATTCAGAGGAGCAATCCTGCAACTGACAATTTTAGTCTGAAATACAGGATTTTCTAGTTCTTTTATAACAGAGATTTTTGTTAATATTTATTGATCTAATATGCATAGCATCTTTTATTCTCTGATAATGGCAACATTTTACTGAATTTAAAACTTTTTAAATTTTAACTTTTTAAACCTTTATCAGAGGTTTTTTTTTTAAATTATCAGAGCAGCCCTTATACTAATTTTTCAGTTTTTAAAAAATCACTCCAAAATGATGTGAAATACACCTAATGATTATTTTTTTTCTCCTGAGCTATTTTGCTGTAGAGCAATGTTTACAATAGCTATGGTATATAATTTATGCATAAGTATAATTACACCTTGTGAAATGAAAGAATCTGTTAGTATATGAAAAGGAAAAACCTGAGAAAATTGAGTGATGTGCAGAGAATGAACACATGGGGGGGATATGCCCACATACATGCACAACTCTCAGGATGTTTCTTGTTATTGCTCTTCTCAGTGTGCCATCAATGCTCCATTACAGCTTTCTTTTTTTTTTTTGTTTTTGTTTTTAGTTTGTGGTTTTTTTTTTTTTTTTTTTTTTTTTTTTTTTTTTTTTTTTTTGGTTTTTTTTTTTTTTTTGGTTTTTTTTTTTTTTTTTTTTTTTTTTTTTTTTTGTTTTTGTTTTGTTTTGTTTTGTTTTTCCTCTAACAGCTTGTTTCACTTACTGAGGAGGTAATGAGGGAAAGTAAAAAAAAAGAAGTCCTTACACTTTTCTGAATCCTGGGAGAGGGGCTGGCAAAATGGTTGTTCTTTATTTACATTCCCAGGCAGACTAAGATTGTAAGACTAGAAGTTGAGGGAAGCGCCGCTTGCTTTGTCCTTTCGGTCAGCACCACTCCCAGCTGATGTCAGAAAAGTAGATGGGGATTTGGTCTGGCTGCATTGGTGTGTTCTTGTGTTTGACTGTATCCCAGTCAGGACAGAGGACACCTGTAGCTATTGCTGGAGTATTTGGCTCTTCCTGCTGTGCTTGGAGTGTGGTCTAAAATTACACTGCAGCTCTGGCCACATCACATGGAGAATGGCTGTGCTGCCCCTCAGAGTACTGAGATGTTTGATTTGATCAATTTCCTTCCCAGCAAATGAGATAATTATAAAGATAATTAGGAAAAAAAGGTGGATGCTGTTCTTGGGTGTCTGTATAAAGATCTGAAAATTTGGGACTCAAGGATTGGAATGGCTTCCTTGAATGATTATGTGGTATACATCCTTATCACTGGCACAGTTTCTATTTAGTTTCATTCCAAAACTAATTAAATGGTTTAGCTTTTGGGGAAAAGATGTGTCGTTTGCTAGTGTAGGAATGCATATCAACTTTCAAAATACAACTCTTTTGCATATAGTATTATGGAGTTAGTTTTGAGGATAGCTTACTTGAAGAACTTTGAAGATCCCAATCTGTGCCTCACATGCTGGAAAACGTTCCCTTTGGTAAAAGGATATCAATTGCTCTATTATTGTAGAATAAGAGAAGCTTTTTATATTTGTGTTGGATTTGTTAGGTAGTAATATTCTGATGTAGGTCTTTAATGTAGACAAGCTATCAGGCTTGCAAACCCTGCTCTTCACTGTAACATCTGAGGACCTAAGTCATGTTGGTTTTAATTTATTCTCTTTTCTTCCTGAAACAGTTTCAATTGCTTGTCCAACAAAATTTTTTCCTGTGCGACTTAGTACCTGCTTGTACATGTGTATAGGGCAAAACTCGTTTTCTTAGTCTTTCGTTATGTTCCTAAACTTCTGTGATTTTTATTATAGTCTTAAAGTGATAACCTAAACGTTAAAAAATCCCAAACAAAACAATATCACTGTAGTTTATGAAGAAACAGGAAAAGAAAGCTATTTTTTTTCAGCCTGTTCACTTAAAAATTCTGAAAATATACGCTCCCAAACGAAATCTTGGAAGTTGAGCTTCTCTGTCTCAATAGCCCTTCTGCCCGTTCGCGTGCGTGGCTTGGGAACTGCCAGCAGAGGGAGCGCGGCTGCTTTGAATAAACTGTAGGAGCATAGACACCACGACTTTGCTTGTCAGAAATTTCCATATGCCAAATCAATGTGTTTGCAGAACCAATTTGGGCAACAGCAGAATGGTAATTTAATGTAACTTTTGAAACACTTGAGAGTGTTTCAAAAGATGATGGTGGGCCTAAACTCTGTTAATGAAAGTTAGTGTGCATTTTGCTACTAATTTTGGTGTCTGCTGATTTACAAGAGTGCTTGACATCTTTTATCTGAAAATTACAGTGGAAGTGACAATGTTTTCAAATAGTAATGTTTTAAATTTTTCTTGCAGAGAGGCAGTATGTAGTGAAAGTGAGGACAGCTCAAATGAAGCTTTAAGTGGTCCTTCTATGCAATCCCAGAGTTCTGCTAAAGGTCCAGCTGAGGATACTGATGATGATGATGATGAAGAAGAACAATTTATCGGGCCACCACTTCCCCCTGGGTTCAAGGATAGTGATGACGACAATGACAATGATGATGCAGAGGAGGAAGATAATGTAAGTTGTTTGTTTCTCTTTAATGTTTTAATCCTTTGAGTGGGTTCTGATTTGTATGTGGGTCATTCCTTTTTAATGGAATTCCCAGGTGATGTATGGCTTGTTCAAAATGCAGGTTTTCTGTTTTTCTTGCAGTTTTTCTAATGTTAATTCATCAAATGCAAATAATTATTTTTATTTAAAAATATCAGGATTTAAAATAAAAATACACATGTGAGTCTCAAGGGTAATTCAACATCAATTAGTGTATATTGTTTGCTTTTTGTTTTCATGTTATGAAAAAACCCAGATAAATATTTAATATGGCCATTTTAAATGGTTTATTTCCCAAAGCACATATTGAATTTTATACAAGAAAGAGGAGGCAGAGGAGGGCTTGAATCTAGGGAGAACCACTGTGCCAAAACTGTTTTTAGGAAATTAAGTCTGGTAACTGAGGGCTTGTTGGTTGGTTGTTTTTGTTTACCTGTGTTTATTTTGGTTTGCTTTTTTCTAAATAAGTGCCAGACCTGTTTGTTGTTAAGAATACAGATTTTCCTGTGTTGAAATCAAGAGAACCCCTAACACCCTAACTTTGGTATCAGAGAGACTCAGTTAAACAGCCTTCCTCTATTGACTTGAAAGGCATGTGGATCTAGCACTGATGTGGTTTAGTGGTTTAAGGGTTACAGTGGTAGTGCTGGGTTGGACTGAATGATCTTAAAGGTCTCTTCCAACCTTGATTATTTGATGATTCTGTGGAAAGATTAATGGTTTGATGTTTGTTCTTCAAAACTGCTTGGATAGAATATTTTGTGGCATTGGGGTTTGTGTGATGGTTTCCATGTGTAACAACAATGATAGAAGTCCTGTGAAAACAGCCTTACTTATTATGTATTGAACCATCTGGTAAAAGACCTGTATGTCCTGTTACACAAACGTAAACCAAACTAAAAACCACTGAATTTCCAGGGGTTCCAAGACTCCTTTTGATTTTTCTTTTGTTTTTTTACTCAGGATTCAGTTTGCTTGATCTTTTTCTGTAATATCTCTTACCTTGCATGTTTTGAGCTTATATTTTAAAGTTTAGAGAACTCATTTTGAATGCTTGAGAGGAGCTTCTTGAGCCATGACATTTCTCATTTTTAGAGTAAGCCTAAACTTACGTGAAGACGTTTTCTGTTTTGTTTTTTGTTTACCTACAAGGGATAAGTGATGGGAAATTTTGGTGTATTAGGTATTTGTATCTCTTTGTCTGATTAATTTGATTCACTGTTGTCTATGGATTTCTATAACTATCAGACTGTACGTTTTAGTTCCATATCTCCTGTCATTGTATCTGTACCCCACAGATGACTTGTTCTGTCTCAGGCAACCACGAAGAGATAAATCCAGAATTTTCTTTGAGAATGACATAAACCCTAAGTTTACTTACTGTTGATCTGTGTCAGGAATTCTCTTAATTTCTGGCTGTTAGGGCACTGTGGAGTCGGTCTCTGTTCCTGAGGGCATCATTAGACTCAGTGGGTTTCAGTTGCTATGGGTCATGTTATATTAAAATCACTGTTTCATTGCTGCCAACTTCTCCAAAGGCAAAACAATTTTCAAAAACAGCTGAATTTAGCCTTTCTCTCTCAGTAGTCACTATGCTGATTGACTGTTTTAATTTCTAACAAGATGCTGGTATTTATTTTTTATTCATAAAAAAATAATTTGAATAATGCTACAACTGGCTTGATGCAGTGAAGTTACTGGTGACCACAGTTAAAAGACCCTAATGAAAAGTTTCAGACAGAAAGGTAACTTGCAGTCTGGTGTGATTTAAGTTTGTCTGAACTTAAGACAATAGTTACAAAACAGTCTAGAATAGATTTGGTTGAGAATAAGCAGAGCAGCAGAAATATGAGACTTGTGGGTTTTCAGTCTAAACAGTTAATTTATAACTGGGGAGATTTTGTGTCAGTGTGAATGCCAGAGGCCTTTGGGGTCTAGAGCCTTCCCTTACTGCTGCTCATGAACTCAGTTATTTTCTTTCCTGTGAAGGGAATCAGGAAGCAGCTGTGCTTTCGTGGTTTCCTGTTGATCGATTGGTGATCACAGTATGATCTTGCGAGCCCCAAGGAAGGCAGGTGTTGCAGTTATGAGAACTCTGATTCCTTTCTCTTGCTTGTACATAGACAGTGGTTGGTGTGCATGGGTGCAGAACTGAGACAGAAGAAACTGAAAGCTGAATATTTTTTTCACAGATGTAGTATGAGACTCTCTCTTTTATTATCTTATTTTGCTGCTGAAGTAATTCCTTGAAAACACAAGTATCTGTGCTTTTGATCCTGAAGGAATCAAATTTTTCTTTAGTAGTTCTAGGTGTTGTGGTATATAATTTGTAATTTGAAGTCTTGTGAATTTTGTATGACAGATAAAATTCATCAAAATGCTGGTTTCACCCTGACATTTTCCCACTGTCTCTCAAGTCTGACTTTAGATGTGGGTTTTTTTTCAGTATTGCTTGTTCTTTTGTTTTTCCTTTCTTATGACAGATTGTCAGTAGAGACATTTGTCAAATTTGTCTTGCTATGAGGCAGACAACTTTGGAGTCCAGGGCTGGCCCAGGACTGCCCAGCTTACATGAGTTATTTTACTAAATAAACATTTAGGTAGACGGATTAGCTGGTGGTTATTTTCTTTGATGGGAATTTTTCCATACCTTCTTGGTGTTTTTGTGGGAAAATGACTAACAGCAGTTAATTGCACAATGTTTTGAATTGACACTGGTATTTTTTGAGTATTATGCATTTTTGTAATTTGCATAAATCACCTGTGATACAAAGCAAACACAACTTTTTAACAGAGCCTTAGATGTTGTATTACAAGTGTGAATTCTGACTTGCAGTACTTTTTTCCCCAAATTGATGTAAGTTCATTTCATATCTGTAAGTCTGTGGTGCTGTTTTAAAGGATTTTTCAGTGTTTCTTTAATCTGTGTTGATACTGATCATTAGTTACATTTAACAAATAAATATTTAGTTTGACTTGCTAATTTGGTATCATTCACTTCCATTTGTGTCAAAAGTGATGATACTTAAGAAACCGCAATACAGTTGTGAGTATTTATCCAAATGCATTACAATGCTTGTTTGTAGTAGTGTAAGGAGTAGTGGTTTATCAAGTACATTTCAAGGATAATAGGTAGATGTGGTATTAATCCCCTCTGATATTTTCCTCTTGGTTTAGTATCCCATTTTATATAAAAGGCTTGCATTAATTTGGGGAGCGAGGCAAATTAAAGCTTTTTGAGTTGGCTATTTTGCTGTTTGAGTTGTGATCGTCATGCTGGCTATTTGAGCTGTGATCAGTACTTACTTTTCTGTGGTGCCTTTTCTTCTGATGGCATAAAAACCTGGTGGGATCGTTGGTGCCCATTTTTCACATGGTCATAAGCTGAGAGGAGGAGGGAAAAGCAGAGCATCTTCTGTAGTGTGAAGTTTTTCAGGGCTGATCTAAACCTTTCTAGAAAATTTCAGAAAACTCTTTATAAGAGAAAACAGCTTGTTTTGCAAGAGGGCAATCGCATAATGAGGGCAATATTGCATGTGATAAATTTTGGCTTGGGAAATATAGTAGAGGCTTGGCCAGCTTTTTTTGCCTGGCAAAATGCGCTGGGAATCTGTCTGATATCTGTTCACTCAAAACCTGTCTGAAGAAGGACAAAGACTAGCAAGAGCAGTTGTGTCAGGATTGGTAGGTAGACAGATTTAAATTTAGGACATAAACATTTTTCAAGGGAATGGATGACACGTGTTAGAAGACTTTAGTAACAGTGTATATCTGTCAGTGCTCTCTTCTACATGTTATTAGAAAATGTGCTGAGATCATTAACAAAACTTAATGTACTGTTAGCTTCTCGTGACACTTTTTCTGCCTTGAGCCAACAGGTAAAGGTGATTGTTAAAGAATTTGCTAGATGGATTTGCAAGGATTTACCTTCTATTTGGAGCTGAGTTACAGTTCGTTCTCCTTCGGAACAGAGAACTGTTTCTCCCTGCCGCACCAAAGGGATACTAATCATGTTGTAATTATGTCCTTGAACCAAGTACAGCCTTGGGCCTCTTCACAGCCCAAGGCTGTACTCTGATTTGGCCTGTTTCCAAAATGATAGCATAGCTGTATTTCAGGTTTTAGAATTATTTGGAGATATTTTAATTTTTTTTTCAGAAGTTTAACAGGACATACCAGTAATACTTGTTCAGAATTGAAGGAAGCCATTTCCTGCTGATTTAGATGGAGAATTTAAGTAGACTGTAATTGCTCCAATTAGAATTTGGCTATGGTACCAGACTAAAAATTATAGTGTTTTAAAAATAAGTAAATGTTGTGGGAATTTTTAGTCTTCCTAAGGATTTGTAAGATTTAGATTGAGAATTATCTGTCCTGCTGAATCTTATTTACCCAGTCATGATTCATCTTATCTAAAGAGGAAAAGGTATAGTAAGCTGAACAAAGCAATTTTTTGTATGCAACAGAGACAGAAAAGTGTGGTTTTGAGGGTGAGAAGCATTAAGTATTTCTAGTTATTGAGAATAAAATAGGTGGAAGTTAACAATTGCTTTAAATTTGCTTCTGTGTTACCTTCCTATATAAAAATGAAGCAAATGTTTTTTTCATATATATGCATATGTTCTTAAGTCTTAACAATGAAAATGAGGTAAATGTATTTTATTTATATTAAACTTGGTACAAGTTGTGGCATTTTTCTAAGGATCATTAATGTGGTGCAAAGATTGAGAAAGATTATATCCAAAGTGAGTTAAAACAGATTTGCAAACTTTGCAAAAATTAGAAGAAAACAAAATAATTGGTCTCTCTCAAATCATTGGTCTTCCAATGTGACGGAATCAAACAGAAGCTGTAAAGAAAGGAATACTCAACTTAAAGAACAGATCATCATATGGAGAGGAAGCTAACAAGGTAATTCCCTTAGGGAATGTTGGTCTTCAGTAAAAAGGCATGGAGTATTTGCTCAT